ACACTCTCACACACACACACACGCACACGCACACGCACACGCACACGCACACGCACACGCACACGCACACGCACGCGCACGCGCACGCGCACGCGCACGCGCACGCGCACGCACACGCGTCGCGCACGCGCACGCGCACGCGCACGCGCACGCGCACGCGCACGCGGCGCACGCGCACGCGCACGCGCACACACACACACATTCGCACACATTCGCACACATACACACACGCACACACACACACCCACACACACACACACCTACACACACGCACACACACACACACGAACACACACAAACACATAAACACATACACACAAACACACACACAACCACATACACACAAACGCACAAACGCACAAACGCACAAACGCACACGCACACACACAAACACACGCGCGCACGCACACGCATGCACACGCACACGCACACGCACAAGCACACGCACACGCACACGCACGCGCACGCGCACACGCACGCGCACACACGTACCCCCGCACGCACACACACACACACACCGACACACACCCACACACACGCACACACACACACGCACACACACGCACACACACACACGCACACACAACATATGAACACGCACACGCACACACACGCACACACACACGCACACACACCCACGCACACACAAAGACACCGACACACGTACACACACGCACACGCACACGCACACACACAGACACGCAAACGCAGCACACGCACACGCAGCACACGCACACGCAGCACACGCACACGCAGACGCAGCACACGCAGACGCAGCACACGCAGACGCAGCACACGCACACGCAGCACACGCACACGCAGCACACGCACACGCAACACACGCACACGCAGCACACGCACACGCAACACACGCGGCACACGCAGCACACGCGGCACACGCAGCACACGCGGCACACGCAACACACGCGGCACACGCGGCACACGCGGCACACGGCACACGGCACACGGCACACGGCACACAGCACACAGCACACAGCACACAGCACACAACACACAGCACACAACACACAACACACAACACACAACACACCGCACACCGCACACCGCACACAACACACCGCACACAACACACCGCACACCGCACACCGCACACGGCACACGGCACACGGCACAGGGCACAGGGCACAGGGCACAGGGCACAGGGCACAGGGCACAGGGCACAGGCACACGCACACATACACACATACACACATAAACACACACACACACACACAGAAAACCCGATACCTCCGCCCCAAGAGGCGCCCAGGAGGCCCCAAGAGGTCACAAGAAGTCCCAATAGCCCCCCAAGAAGCATCCACGATGCCCAGGTAGGCCCACAAGAAGTTGAAAAGATGCTCCAAAACAGCGCACAAGCGGCCCCAAGAGGCCCCCGAGAGGCCGCTGAGGCGCCACATGAGGCCCCAAAACGGCCCTAAAGAGGCTCCCGAATTGACTCTCAAGAGGCCCCCCTGCGACATCCTAACGAACATCCTAAGGGCCCATGACCCACAATCCAGGCACGGAGGCGGCATGGGCCGAAGGCCACTCGATACGCGACGTACTAACCCCTGAATACAAACACTGCTTTGGGGAGAACGCCTGACACCGTGTTTTTGTTCGCGACGCTGGATGCTTTGGTGTTTCGGCGAGGTGCAGCTGCAGGACAAGCTTCCTGAGGCTGGAACACCTTCAAGAGCAGACGAAAACGTCCGAACCCATCGAACGTCAGAGCTCCTTTCAGGGACTGGGGCCCTCCACCGCTTCCAGCCCCATCCCCACTCCGACACCCCCTGCTCCCCTGAACTCCTCGCGCTGCGAGAGCTGGTACAGACAATGTGTGCCAACGGTCAGCCACCGAGGCACACGTCAAGCTCTCGTCAGGCCTGTGCAGTGCAGGCAGCTACGGAGCTCGGACATGCAGAAGCAAGGTGCGGACGACGCTGCAAAGCTCCAGGAGAGCAGAGCATTGACAACGCGAACACCAAATCTGCCTGTGCGCTGACCGGGGACCGTCCAACAATGGCTCGGGGCGGGAAGCCAGTCTCAAGGGAGGGTGTCCAGACCTCTGGGGGGCCCTGCTGCGAACAAAAACACGACGTCGCATGCCTGGCTCTCCTGCGTCCCTCCTCCCCTCGACCTCGCTGGAGGGCGCTGTCCGCGCAGTTCGACTCGCCCGCCTGCTCCCTCCACCTCCTCGTCCTCCTCGTCCTCCTCCTCCTCCTCGTCCTCCTCCTCCTCGTCCTCCGCGTCCTCCTCGTCCTCCTCGTCCTCCTCCTCCTCCTCCTCCTCCTCCTTCTCCTCTCCCATCTTCGTTCTAACCGCGTCGTGACAGCATCGCGACGCACGTTTGTTCGTCGGGCTTCGCTCTCCCCTTCCATGTAGCAGCCCTGACTCCCTCGCGGTTAAAACAACGGGCGAAAACCGAAGGGCAGGCAAGACAGCGAAGAGAGGAGCCCAGACGCGCGCGCGCGTGCCCAGATAATGCCAAGGGAAGGGACCTCGATGGGGCATGCCCCAGATAAGACCTCACCCAGGCCAAGCAGAGTCCTCCTCCTCCTCCTCCTCCTGCCTCCTCCTTATCCTGATCCTCATCCACATGCTCGTCCCGCTGTAGCGACCAGAAGATGTGAGCCATGCGGCGAAGCTCTCCCTCCTTATCATCCGATCTCTTGCTCCAGAGGTTCCCCGAAGGCCTCGGGGGGGGCCCTGGAGGCCTCCAGGGCCCCCTCCCGAGGGTAGCCCTCGACCCTCGATCCTGGAACCTCGACCCCCCCCCCCACTCCCTCCTCCCTCCTCCTACTCCTCCTCCTCCTCCTCCTCCTCCTCCTCCTCTTCATCCTCCTCCTCCTCCTCCTCCTCCTTCTCTCCTCCTGCTCCTGCTCCTCTTTTCCTCCTCCTCCTCCTCCTCCTGCTCCTCCTCCTCCTCCTCCTCCAACTCCCCTCGCCCACTTTACCTTCCTCCGCCTCCTTCTCCTCCTCTGACCTCCCGCGAGCCCCTTCCCAAGACTGGATTTTCATCCCGAGTCGTGTTTCGATGGTCCTGGAGCCCAACAAGGGCCCCCAGCGGCCGAAAGCAAAGAACAGCTTCGTTCTGTGCTTCTTCAAGACGTTGGATGTCCAAATCCCTTAGTCCCACCTCCTTCCCGTTCTCCCCCCCTTTCTGCCAGGGCTCCGACGGGTCCCTGGAGGCCCTGGATGGCCTTCGGAGGCCCGCATGACCGAGGGACGTCAAACCCACCCATTGAAGCGTGGCAATACCATGGACTGGGTCAACGTGTGGGCCCGCATTCCGATGGACCTCCCAGGAGCTCACGAAAATGGCGGCGGTTGCTGGCAACACCCAGGGAAGGCGAGGTCTCGTTTGGACGCCCGTTGGCCCCGCGCTCACACGGACCTCCATGAGCCCACGAAAGCGGCGACAATTGCTGAGTTGGCAGCCTCCAGGGATGCGAGGTCTACTTTGGGTCCCTTCAGACGCGCACCCCGTTGGACCTCCTAGAAGCCCACAAAGGTGGTGACAGCTGCGCAGATGGCAGCCTGGAGTGAGGCGAGGCAGGAGGCATCCAGGAGGCAGGCGAGGCATCAAAGAGGCAGGAACGAGCCACGAAGCAGTAGCACTCAACGTATGTTTCGGCACGAGGACCCAGCACGCAAAATGGCCTGGGAACAAACACAGGAACAGCCCACCAGCCCTTTCAAGGGGCCCAAGGACACACAAATAAATGCACAGAAATAACAGGATTCCCCATATCGCAGTGGGTCTGAAAACCCTGTTTGGGGATACTGCACTCCGGCTATGATCGAGTTTGTCTGGGTTTTCGTCTTCCCATATTTCCCCGTATTTCCTGGGAGTCGACGATTCATTGTGTCTGTGTGTTTCTTTCCCTCCTGACCCTTGCAATCGTGGATCCTCGAACTTCAGAGGCCCAGGGCCCCTTCTGGCCCGGGCCCCTGGAGGCCAGCCCCGGGGCCCGGGTGAGGTCCGAAAATCGATGAACACACTTCGTCACGTTCTTCTCAACGCGAGAAAGTCTGGCCTTCGGGTCGTCACCCGGGTCTCGGGCGGCCGTTCGGGACGTTCTGGCCAACCCCAGAACGCTCCCAGTGAGGCGCAGCTGCAGGAATAGACGAGCGCGTTCCACTACGCTCACAAAGTAGCTACTCGCAAATGGCCTGGACCCGCCGCGGGGGATCTACGATACATTACATCGAAGCAGACACGTGTTTTTCGAGCGTTTGCGAGTAGACACTTTGCGAGTAATGGAACGCGCTCGGTGAAGGAAGCCCCCCCGAGGCTATCAAAGACCTCCGGGAACCAACGAGGACGTCCGCCACCGTGCAACCGTCGACCTCCAGGGGAACAACGCTCCGTCTGGCCCCCCTGCTCGCGGGCGGATGAAAAAAAACATGCTCGGATGCGCCGAAGAGGAGGGTCCCGGAAGGGGGGGGGCGCATCGTGGCCCGAGGTGCATCGCCGATGCATCGGCCACGCCAGCGTGCAGAAGTTCGGGCTCCACATCGAGCCGCACCACCGATGCCCATCGGCTTCGACCCCATCTGGGCGGCCATAAGGTCCCCCCCCCACCCAGACGTGCGATGTTCTGATGTGTTCCATGCGGGGCTCCCGAAGTCCCGAGCCCGTCCCGGGGCCCGATTTCTCGTCCCGAATCGTCCCTGGACGGCCCCTGGGCCCGGGGGGGGGGGGGCCCCGGATGCGGCAATGGTGAAAACCGCCCGTCTTTCTTGTTTTCACGACGCCATCAGGTCTGGGTGGTCTTAAATCGGGCCTGTCCCTCTACAGGAGGAATATTCAAAAATAGTGGAAAACTAGTCTGGGAACGCTTTTTCGCTTATTGTTTGGCCATTCTGGCATATTTTGTGAACATGTTTGATTTTTCGTTTAAAATCCACTTGTAGGGGGACATGCCCGGCTTAAAGGTACTCCTCCCCCTCTTGGACGCCCCCGACACGCGCGCGGCGACGGCGGCCAGCTGGCG